AGCCCCCGGGACACATGGCGGCCCACCCCCAGCAGGACTCCAACTTCCCCCCACGCTCTCCTTAGCCTCCTCAGCCACCTGTTTGTACCCAGGACACACCCCTGCCCTGCATTGTTCCAGGCGGCTCTTTTCCTCTGCCCCCAAGCTTAACTGTGCGGCTCCATCCCTTCCGCTGGGTTTTAAGCCTCACTCCCTGCTGCTCCCGCACCCGTCTGACATCAGGGCCAACTTCTCACAGCTCCTCCGCCCCTTCCCATTGACGCCCGACTCTCCCCTCCCCCCTCACTCCATCTGCTCTCTTGCACGGAAGTCCCGTGCTGTTTTGAAGGCTTCCCTTTCTGACATGCCTTCACCCCGATCATAGACCCCAACCAAGCCCATGAGCCAGGTGTCACATTGAGAAGAGCCCACCCTGGACCCTTGGCAAAATATTGACCCTTGGCAGGTGTGATGGGGGAGGTGGGACCTGCCAGCTGCCCAGCTCCAATGCTCAGGGTGTTGTAACAATATTCATGTGGGTGCCTGTGACAAGCCCACGCTTAGTGCCTCAGTACTACAGCACAGGACCCATCTGGCCAGGAGCTGAGCTGCTTCTGTGCAGCATTATGCCCCATCAATGCCCGCTGCAGTGAGTGGGTGTGGAAGGCACTCGGCACCTTGCTGGACTGGGCCTTGCTCAGCACATTTTAGTCTCAATGCTTCGTCTAAGCTCCATCCGGGAGTAGTTCTGAGTTTGCCAGTTTGGAGCGAGACCGGCTAGAAACGGTGAGTCGCTGCATTGCACCTCGCCAGGCTGCGCGTTGCTCCACCAGGGCTCGTGGCTCAGTAACAAGACAGGCGCTCGAGTGATGCCCAGTAACGTGCAGGAGAAGGAAATGCAAAAGGTAGCTGGCTAATAGGGAGTGATCATTATGAATGAGCATGCACAACAGGGCACCCTCCAGCAGAGGATCCGAATCCTGTAATCACAACCCCTGAGGGTACGTCTACACTGCAACTAAAAACGCTGCTCCTGCCTGGGGCTGTGGTACTGCAGTGTAGATATTTGGGCTCAGGCCCCAGGACCCTGCGAGCTGGGAGGGAGGTGAGCTCACCAGCTGACACAGGCCAGCCGGGGTGTGTACTTGCAGGGTGGACATACCAGGTGTATCACCATCCTCCTTTTACTGCTAGGGGAACTGGAGGTGCAGAAAGGGAAAGTGACTCGCCCTAGGTCACCCAGCTAGTCAGTGGCAGAGGAAGGTACAGCCCCCAGGGCTGCCTGTGTGGGCGCCTCCAGCACCTGCCCCATATAAATCCATCGTGACTAGAAAGCCAACCCTCCTGTGGCTCTATTGCCGCATAGGCCCTCACAGGTTCCCAGCCCTGCCGGGTTGGTCTAGCTGAGCAAGATGGTCCAGGCTCAGTCAACCCCCCCGCACGCACGCACGCGCGCGCGCGCACACACACACACACACACACACACACACACCCCTTTCCTAATCTAGACAAATCCCAACACACCTTAGAGTGAGCCACGCGCCACGTCTGTCCTAGGGATGTAAAGGGTTAATCAGTGAACCGCTTACCCACTAAGCATTACCGTTACCCCTTGGGTAATCGGTTCACTGGCAGCCTGGAGCGTCACCCCGCCCACCATAGGTGAGGGGCTGCTCCAGCCCAGCCGGGCCCACCGTGCTACACTGCAGGCGGGTGGGGGGCGGCTCCATGGCTAACTCGTCCTTTTAACCAATAATTAACATCCCTCGTCTGTCCTCGCTGAGCCTGACCACAGGGAGCTGGGGGGGAACACCTGGCACCACGGCAGCAACAGTGAGAACCTCGCCCGCCTTACGTCCTCCCTCATTTACTGCCCAGGCGTCAGGAAGCTGCTCCCAAAGGCCTGCAGGCTGCTGACCCAGGTCAGTGGCCCTTTGTTGTACCCTAGGCCCCAATCCGGCTGCCTCTGTGGTCACCGGGGCCTTCCCCCCTGTTGGATCAAGCTCCTATTTTACAAGCCATCAGGGAAACCACCAGATAGGACTGGAGGGGCAGAGATCTCCTGGGCGGATATTCAATATTAAGTCTCACTGAAAAGTAGTGGGGCAATTTCCCTCCACTTCTCCCCTCCCCAAGTCAACCTCTTCTCAAACTTCTCAACCTCTTCTCAACCTCTTCTCAAAATAATTAGTCTCCATCCCCCCAGCCACCTTTTTGAATCCCTCCTGTAAATGGCCATAATTAGTCTCCATTCCCCCAGCCACCTTTTTGAATCCCTCCTGTAAATGAACATCATGTCAGCTCTAACTTTCCAAACAGAGTCCTTCCCGCTGCTTCTGCCTTGCGAGGGCAGGAAACCGCTGAGGAGGGACGAGAAAGCACCGGGAAGAGGGGGTTTCAGTCCTAACGCTCCCTCTGCAGCATAGACAGCTTGATGCGCCCCCCACATGTCCCAGGGCTCAGCCCAAAGCTGCACCCTCCCCAGCAACTTTCTCTGCCTGAAAAACTCTGCACCTTCCAGGGGTTTAAAAGCTCCCGCTCTAGCTGATTTCAGGGGCAGTGTGAGTTTGTTTTCTAGCCATCCAAGGAGAGGGCAGGGAGGGTGACGCTAACCAGCTGGCTGTGGGATCAGCAGGCAGGGCAGAACGGCATGCACACAAGTCAAATCCCCACCCGGGCAGTCAAACCACGTTACCTGCTGCAGGGGCTCGTCGAAGGTGCTGGCCATGTTGGTGGTGAGCGAAGCCACCTGCACCGCTTGTTTCCTGGCGGCCAGGAGGATCCGGCAGTAGGTGAAGGAGATGGCCATGGATGGGAGGAAGAAAGTCAGGCAGGAGGCAATCAGAGCGTAGGGCAGACTGACCAGGAGCCTGCACTGGTCCTCTTCCATGTGGGAGGTGCTATTGAGGGGCCTGATCTCAAACTCCAGCTCATGCCACCCCATTTTGATAGGCAGGAAGGAAGCCAGGGCGGCCAGGGTCCAGGTGGCGAAGATGAGCCACACGGCCCTGCAGAAGGTCATCCGGAGCTTGTACTTGAGTGGGGAAATGATGAGCAGGTACCGGTCCAGGCTGATGACGCAGAGGTTGAGGATGGAGGCGCTGCAGCACATGACATCGAAGGAGTACCAGATGGAGCAGAACTCGCCCTCCAGCACCCAGCGGCCGTACAGCTGGTTCAGCATGGCGGGGGGCATGACCACCAAGCCCACCATCAGGTCGGACATGAAGAGGGACACCAGGAAGTAGTTGGAGGTGTTGCGCAGGGAGCGCTGCGTGAAGATCAGCAGGATGAGCAGGGAGTTGCCCAGGGTGGTCAGCAGGATGATGAAGCACAGGAAGGCGGCCACCCAGCTGTTCCCCCCTGCCAGGGATCTCTCCCCAAACACACTGGCATTGGGTCTCCCGAAGTCTTCTGCCATTGAGGAGCCGGGAGAGGGGGGATGGCTGTGCACAGGCTGAGGCGAGGAATGCTAGCAACTCCCCTGGGGATGCTGAGCTGTCATGGGCCAGCTTTTAAGGGGAAGAAGTGTGGTCTGGCTCCCTCTCACTCCCCCTCTCGCTTCACTGGCACTCAGGGCAGAATGACATTCTCAGGAGCCGATCAGGAGAAGAAAGCAGCTTCCCTCCCCACCCCACGGCTCCTACTGAGGCATTTCCTAGGAGCTGCAAATGCCACTGAGCCGCCTGCTTTGCCGCCTCTGGGGAGAGGCGGGTGCAGGGAGCAGATGCCCCTGAGTTCCTAGCGCTGCTTCGCTCGTTCCCTCCTGCTTGCCTACCTGTAGGGCTCTAGCTTCTGAGGACCGGGAGCCTTTTCCTTTCAGCTGCTGTGTGTCCGATCCCGGCTGTGGCTGCTGCTGCACACAGAGCAGGCAAGAGGCAGAATAAACCCTGATGCAAGGGAAGCTGGATGCTCCCAGAGTCTGGCTGGTGGGAAAGCTGCAATGGGCAGGGGGGTGGGAAGGCAGGACTGAGGTTTCTCCCTTGGCCGGGGGAGGGGTGCCCCTCTCTTCCCTTAGCATCCCCCCCTTCCTTCCCCCTTTGCTCTTGCTAAAGGACCTAGTCTGGATTCTGTAAAGTAGCAATTGGAGAGCTTTCTTTTCTGCCCGTAAAGCAACAGCAAACACTGGCTCCCCCACTCCACCAGCCCTCCCCTTCCAGCCAGCTTGGGGGGGGGGGTTTAAAGAAGAGGATCTGACGCAAAGGGGGCAAGTTAACATCAGCTAGAAGGGCAACAGGTTGGAGGTGAAAAACAGCCGCGTGGGGCTGTGCTGAACAGCCAGGGTTGAAGCACAGTCGCTGACCATGATGGATTGCTTGACCCGCCAGCGCACACAACAAAACCACACGACGAGCGCCGTGCACCAGGGAAGGGCTTGGCCAGCAGGAGGTCAGGCTGTTCCCCAAGGGGGATGCAGGGATTGATCCAAAATCGACCACAATCTCTGAGCCATGTCAGTGGCTCCGGCCCAGGTACGGTGACCCCGCTGCGGCGTCGGCACATAGGAGGGATAGACTTGCGGGGAAAACTGCTGCAGGCAGGAGGGCCGCCAGGAACACACCCCAAAGAAATGGGAGAGGCCAGGCTGGTGAAGTAGAAAGGGGAGAGGCCAGGCTGGTTAAGTCACTAAAAACACAGCCCCTGCAGTGGGTGGCCACTGTGCGAGGGAAGCGACGCGGCGAGGGGACCCGGTGGCCTCACTCACAGGTGCGCAGGTGACACGGGAGGGAAAAGCTCTTTGGGGCCATTTGGAGACGTTCGCTTGGTTTTATTTTTAATCGTTTCTTGGATAGATGCTTCCCCCGCTGAATCCTCTGCTATGGGACGTAGGCATGGGCCAAGGGGAGACCAGGAAGACCAATTTGACACCCACGGAGGAGCTGCATTTACAGGCGATGTGACACAAAAATACAGCAGAATCACACTCATCGCCTCATCGCAACCCCCTACCAACCTTGTCATGGCTCCAGCTCCTGTTCCCCACCTCCTGCCCGTACCACACTCGCCTGTGCCCCTTGGTGTTAATCCAGCTCCAAGCCTACGGTGGCTAAGAGGAATGTTAAAATGCGGGTAATTAACTGAAAATGTCAGCGGTTACATGGTTACACGCAGGGTGGCAGCCAGCTCCCTGGGAGCCGGCGCACACCTCCCGCCTGCCACCCCCCTCATGGGGTGACGGCTACTGGCCCACTCTGATGCCTTTGATACAGAGGCAGCAGCATGGGGCAGAAAGTGGCTCCCTGGCAGCCGGTGCGCACTGGGAGCCAGCTTTTAAGTCAGCTCCCTGCACATACTGGCTCTCGCCTGTCCCGTGGGTAGCCGTTTGGGTAACCGATAATCTCATGCTCTCGGTTACTTGTTTACACAGCTACACTCGTACATCCCTAATGGCTAGCACACAGCCGAGGCCTGCGCTGCACGCCTGTGATTGCCAGGGAGTTCAACGGGACCCCGGTGGGTGCAGTGACACGGTACAGCAGCTCCCCTAGATCAGTGTTTTTCAACATGGGGCTTGCAGCCCCCGGGAGGGTGACAGGACAGGCGTAGGGTGTCACAATGCAGGGCCGGCAATAGAGGCCAGTAAGCAGGGCAAGTACCCAGGGCTCCAGGCCACCGGGGCGGGGGCTGCCAAGCACTGAGACACACTTTGGCCCTGTGGCTCAGGCCTCACACCAGGCTCCCGAGTGAAAAGCAGGCCCAAGCTTCAGTCTGACAGGCGAGGACAATCGTTCTGTCCCACGCCAGTTCTTGGATACAGCAAACGCGAGGATGTCGGCAATTTAGCCGTACCAGTGTGGCTGTGACTGTGGTTGTGGGTTGGGGGGGTTATTTTTATGTCTGATTTTGTAAGCGAGTCATCATATATATAGTAGCCCAGTGTCTGAGAGTCTGTAACGCCGAAATGTTGGCTGTTCCCTCTGGGGGGGCGCTGTTGCCTGAAATGCTGGCTGTTCCCTCTGGGGGGGCGCTGTTGCCTGAAATGCTGGCTGTTCTCTCTGGGGGGGCGCTGTTGCCTGAAATGCTGGCTGTTCCCTCTGGGGGGGGGGCGGTGGCCGGAATGGCGGGCGGGTCCCCGCG